CCCATAGACCTTTAACTCACATTCACAAAAGGACATTACCTCAGATATACTGTATGGCTATACAGCCCTGAAGCTTCACCAGCTCTGTTCATTTGGCACTCCTGCTGAACAGGCTGTTACTCAGAGTTCGCAGATGAAATCCCTCCAGGATCCTTGCTCTTACTCATTCTTCTTCCAGGGAAAGTTGCAGCCTGCTTTGCCTGCTGGTTTCCCATACTGTACAACAACACTCACAAAGCCGCCAAGTTCCTGTTGAGCATGTGGCTGTTACACACACAGTGGTTTCCACTCTCACAATGCCGACCAGCACACTCACACCATACAACCGTCTGCTCTTACATTCTACAGAATGGTTTGCTCACAACTCAGACACAAAAAGTTACAGTAACGGCTAACCTCCTGCTGAATAAGTGGCTGCTCTACCGTGTGACCTGTACATTTACAACAGACCCGACTCGAAAGGTCTCACACAGACCAGCACAGACTTGCTCTCTCTCAGCTTCAGCCTAGTGTAAGATGACCAGGGAAGGGTCATTCATAACCGCTATTTTTGGAATAACCTTCTTAATATACTTGATATAGAGCTAAGCAAAATGGCTGCCAAGAAGAATCAACTGACCCGTATATGGAAAGGGTCTACCCTGAGAAACAACGAGACACAGCTGATTCTAATTGGCCGCCATTTTGCTTAGGTCTATATCGAGTATATTAAGTAGGTCATTCCGAAAATAGCGGCTATGAATGACCCTTCCCCTGGTCATCTTACACTAGCCAGTCTGATTGTCATGCCTCTGCATAAGACAAGCAGACACATTAATACAGTACATACACTCCATCACTTCACTCACTCTGACCCGGCCAGGTTTTCTACCTACAAATTACAGTACATACTACTTAGGAGTACAATCCCTTTAGTACTGAGAATAGTTCAGGTTGACACCCTGGCTTCCTCTCTCAGTCAGGGAAGTACACAGTCTGTACTTGAAAGACCACCCACAGCTGTAGCTCATTGAATCACATACTTCCTACAGCTACAGTCATGTTGAAACACATGCTTCTCAAGGAGAAGCTCCATCCCTCTGCATTCCACACCTTGGCTGGCATGACAATGTATTTTTTAATACATTCTAAGATCTCTCATTGAAAACGATAAACTGCATGGAATAAATATTGCTGCTTCATTTTTACCTTTGTACTCTTCTTCATTGAGAAATTGGGAAATCCCATCTCATCAATTTTGCTTTAGGTGTTTGTAATTTTAGGAAATATTGTTTAACTGGTGTGTCTTGCTATTGCAGTAGCAATTGTTTTGCTAGGCTATGTGGAAACATTGTTCTGTATATTCTGCTTTAGTGACTTATTTTAAAAGGTTTGGTGATACTTTGGTAATACTCTTTTGTTAGGTGCTGCTACAATTGCAGCAAATACTGCAAAATGTCCAACAAGGGTGGTGGCCCATTCTCCTTTCAGTGGGTTACCACAGTGACCCACCATCACCTTTATATTTGTATTATTTGTTATGGAGAAGGAGAGCTATTATTCTTTTTTTATTTTCCTTACAGAAATGTTGACATATTTCTTCAAAATGATCTCTGGGTACTCTATCATCTTTTACAACTGTCACTACATTTGTTTTTACAGCCAGAAATATGGCTGAGAAAATTACAAGGCTTTCTAAAGCTTTGCTTTGAAGACCATTATCAAATATATACAAAGAAACGCAAACAGAGAGGTGAGTGTAAGAAACACAAATGGCAAAAACTGTTTTGAAAAGAATGACTCACTACACTCAAAAGTCATACCAAACAATGATAAAGTACGGACAGATCATTACAGCAAGTTGCACAATAACCTTTCCAAAAAGAAAAAAACATTAAACAACATATTGTCAGTTCACTGTCATATCAGTGGAGAAATCCTAAAGTGCTACATTTTCTTTAAAAAAATGAAAAAGAAAATTTAAAGATCTACAGTACTGCTCTACAGTTACTCATAAAAGTGGAGATTTGCCTGAAATCAGTTATATACGGGGCTTAGATTCATTCAAATAAATGCTGCTCCCCCTAACAAAACAACTTAAAGTTCACAAAAAACAATCTTTACCTCTAAGAGGTTTCTCAATTCAAGTAACCAGTGGTAATCAGAAATATTGCAACTTAGAATCAAGTTTCCACTTAAATCACAACGACAAAAGCACAGGACGAGTGTTTGAAAAGTCAGTGAGCTCCACAGATATGTTAATACACACAAGAAGCCCCAGGTTATTTGCTGAAACTGACATTCCCTCAGCTTGATAAATGAGGAACATGCTACGTCAAAGAAACGTGGAGGGCTGAAGTGCACATAAAATTGCTTCTGTGGTCTCGCTTTAGTTGAAGAACAATAGGCATGCAGTATAAAGCCTGCTGTCCTAGAAAGTGACAGTTAGATGGACAAAACTGGAAGTGGATAATGAGTTCCTTGATCACTGTGACATTAAGCAATAACCACGATAATGGATAAATAAACGTCTGTGAAAGTGGTTATTCTTCATGGAGTATGAAAGCCTCCCATGAATAACTGAAACAAAATGTTCAGACTTCTTTTGTCATGTAAAAGAAGTCTTCTGCCATTATCTATACATTGTCACTCCTGTAACACATTATTACTGAGAACTGGAGTTTTATCAATGATTGCTACCTCAAACAAACCACATTTTCCGGGATTGCTTCTGTACATTATATTCCATATGGAGAAACAAATAATGAAAGACAGCTGCATTTCAGAAAATAAATCAATGAAAATGAAAGCTCCTTTCAATCTACTACAAAAATGTGAGAGGTCAAATATTGATTCCTTTTCGCATTATGCACTACAAGCATTGTAGCTATTGCTCAGTTGGTTAGCTTATGTCATCCAATCGCCAGACTCCAGGGTCACAGAGAAAGTTGTCTTCTGCTTGTAATGACTGTGGCTTATGCTGGAGTAGCAGTCTGAGGATCATGAGCTGAACCCCATAGGAGGCAAGGGAAACACAGGCGAACAGGCCAGCAACAGGTGAGTATGCTGTATTAGACAGGCGGGGGGAAACAGGCTAAAAACTGTCCAGATTCCTAGTGGTGGCAAAAAGGGTTCAAAGCCAGTTGATACGTGGTAAGAGCACATGAGGAAACATGACAAAAGGGGTTGCAGCCAGCAAGCAAAGTTCATTACAAAACAAATAACAGTTCAAAAGCACAAAAGAAATGTCCAGGAGCCAAGGTCAAAACAAAGCAGGAACAAGAATCAAAGCGAAGCACAAGACAGGGAACTAGAGATTTAGAGAACTGTAAAATTTGAGAGGTTCTGAGCAAACACTATCACAGAGCCCAGTGCATTGTCAGATCAGACCTCAAGTAGCCTGCTCCACCTGAGAGGGGGGAGGTTTTTACTATGCACAGGTGAAATAGGCTTCCTGTCTGCTTATGTGGCCATGGCAACTGACACTGACTGACAGGTGAGTAGGAGTGTGGCTGGCTGCTGCAGTAACAAATTAGCTTACTTAGGCTTGCCTATTTTCTTGGTTCTCCGAAGTCAGGCCTTTTCCCCAGCGTCCTGACCGCCTGGGTCCGGGATTCAGAGTACCTGGTCCCATTATATTTTGAGTTCCTGTGCCTTTGCCAGTTCTGACCCGGTTCCCGTTTTTAACCGTTTTTCTTGGATCAATCTCCCGGCTCTTGGATTATGGACTGCGCCCCGACTTCCCTTTTTGATTTCCCCCTTGCACCTGCTCACTATAGTCACCCCCTCCTAACCCTGTTCTACCTTCCTCCGTCGTCTTTTACGGATAGACAGATAGATACGTCCACATAGGGTCTTTAATAACATACTCCACGGGAGTCAAAACTGGCTCCTGAGACAGGTGCACACCCGGTATCTCCAGAGACAACTCCTACTCAGCCTGCCTGAGAGTGTGCAAATCTTGTACTGGTCTTAGACAGGCCACTTTGGCATCATATACAACTCAGACCTTCACCTCCATTAGTTACACATACAGTATGTAATAAATCAAACCATCCATTTTCTAACTGTTTTATCCCATACAAGACAGTGGGAGAGCCCAAGCCTATCTCAGCAACCAGTGGGCACAAGGCAGGATACCTCCTGAATGGAACTCCAGTCCATTATAGGGCACACATGGACATAAATATGTACACACTCACATCAGGATCAAGATTCACCGAAAACAACACACCATACAGTATATCTTTGAACAGACATGGTAGTACTAAATTCAGACAGTGTAATATGAACATACTGTCCTAAAAAAGTGATAAGGATTTTAAGGTGTTTTTTTTCTATAGAAACCAAAGAACATACAGTACACTTCAAACACTAGAATCATCCAGGATTACACAGCTGCCTTCAGTATACAAAACTAATAAATGAATCAAATCACATAATTTAAGCACCTAATCAGCAACAAGTAGGTCAGTGCTGTGTTTGGATTTTCAACTCAACAAAATCTGACAATATTGTTAAGAGGTTAATACATTTGCAAACCACTGTAATTGGGGTCACAAGAGGTATTATTGTTGTTGCATCTACCACTGTTGCATAGCTGAAGGCCACTGCTTTCCTGGATAATGCGCTCAGTGCTGAAGCACTGGTTGGAATATACACTTTAGATTCAGAAATATCACCTCAGACAATTCGCTGCTACCTCTGTCTCGATTCAGAGCTAGGTTAGTTGTTGTTGAATTACATCCATCTTTTTACAGACAGACAGCTATGAAGAGTTGGTGTTTAGTGAAGATTAAGCCAATAGCTTTCACCACAAAATATTAGCCCCTTTGGTAGGTCTGCATGATGGCAAAATAGGAAAGTTTTATTAAGGTGGGCATCTATTTAGTTACGTCTGTTCTCTGTTAAAATAATTTGCTATTCAATAGATTTTCCCTTGAGGCAGCAACTGTACATGAAGGTACTAACGTGATATTCTCCCCCTATACAGCAGATGTCGCTATAATGGATTACGGCGAGTTAAATATTGTCAACGTCACCAACAAAATGCTAAATTAAAGGAGTAGAGAATTGTTTTTTCGATTATAGATGAGATTTAGTTGTACATCTGTTTGCTTATTTGTTTTACCTGTATTGCTTAATCTTTAAAAGGTTAGTACCTCACGTTCTATGTTATTTGAAACGGAAAAAAAATGCCTTTCATATGCTGTTGTACACAGACTTAATGCACTACAACGTTTTTTTATTTTATAATGGTACCACGCTAGCAACGTAAAGAGCGTCATAGTAACATTGTAAATTACAATTTTCTTATACCGCTGTATAAGTTATATTCAAATAGAATAACTTTTATACTACATTTTTATTATTTGATTTATTTTTCGTTATATGTATTCTATACATAACTGGCTTAGTTTAGTTCGGAAACAAGTCTCATGTTCTTGTTGCATTGAAACGGGAATTTACGTTAATTGGATTTTAGCCGTGGATCTGTAAACTGTGAGTGGCAGGAGCATTATTTGTTGTTTCGGAGTGTCTCTTGCAATCTTTCTCTTCGTGAAAATTCTCCGAAAGTGATGGGACTGTATCGGATGAACTCTCTTTCAGGCCCGTTAGCTGGAATATCATGGCTGATTCAGTGAAAGAAAATCTGGAGATGCAGGTTTCTGAGATGGAAATGCTGTTTTCTATGTTTCCTGGTGAAGGCGACATCAGACTCGAAGACGCGTGTGCCTTGCTTCATGTGAGGAGATACCTGGAGGGTGTACGAGAGTCTTTGCCACCTCGTATCGAATTTTGTATCGAAGTAAAAATTGACAACCCCCAGGTATGACTTCGAGTTTCCAAGCGCCCCTTTCTCTTGTATACTTTTGACACAGACGAAAAAGGTCCCGGTAAAAGGGTCACTTAATTTTTGTACTCAAAAAACAAAAACATTTTCTGGTTTTCAGTCATAGTAACTCTGAGTAACGCTTGATAACTTTAAACTTGAGTATATGTCCGTTAACATATTTAATGGATGAAACTGTTAATTCTGTAGGCACTGTTGAAGATTACTTTAATGTAAGATGTGGGATTTTAATTCTACTTTAATCTTTGAAGGCAGGATAGGCAGGATACGTCTTGTATTTATAATTCACTGCTTACATACTCTGTGTACTTACACTATACGGTATATATACATACAGTGTAAATAATACACACATTATAAACAATACATGACATTTTTCATATGCTAAAAAAGATTTGTGCATGTCAAAGTTTATTTTACATTTGTGTTCTCTAGGATGATTTCACTCTTAATTTAGTCTTTCCTTAGTGCATAAATGAATAGATTTCTAAATCTTATTGGAAATTTTAACTAATATGAGACTCAGAAGAACCCAGTGACTAATATTTTCAAATTACAGGATGTGGTCATTAAAAGCATATTTTTTGTCTTCCTTTATATTTTAGGTTACAGTAGATCTACATGCATCCTTGCCTCATTCCTACCCCCAAGTTGCACCAGTACTATTTACGAGATGTTCTTCTCTGGACAGACAGCAGCAGAAGCTGTTAAATGACAATCTGTCTTCGTACATCAGTGCCTTAGACCGAGAAGAGCTCTGCATTACCCTGGCTGTTCAGTGGGTACAAGACCACAGCATGCTTTTCTTAAAGAACTGTAAATTACCTCCAGAACCTGCTGGGAGAACCCAAGAAGTCAACTCTGTATTTCATAGAATGTGGATTTACAGTCACCATATATATCGTCAGGAACTGAGAGAGAAAATTCTCAACTGTGCAAAAAAGCTGCACCTGACAGGATTTTGCTTAACTGGAAAGCCTGGGGTTATTTGTGTTGAAGGAGCAAAGGATGATTGTGAAGAGTTCTGGCATGACATTAGATATCCCAATTGGAAGCACATTTCCTGCAAACATGCAGAAACAATATCAGAAGTAAACAATATTGATGAATGTCATTTGTTCCCTGCTTTTGAAGAACTGACATTTGAAGCACATGGTGATTATGGATTGCGAAATGATTACCACATGGATTTAGGGCAGTTCTTAGAGTATCTTAAGGAACATAAAAGCGAACATATATTTCAGATACTATTTGGGATTGATGGAAAAACTGACTTGTGATTATTTTTACTTATACCATTCCAAAATGTGACAGAATTAAAAGTCTTGTTCTCCTGTTCACTATGGTAGTGTGCAGTTTATTGCTGTAGAATGTCTTAACTTCAGAGTATTTTTAAGAATTCTGCTATAAATAGCTATTTACAATTCAAATGAGAAACTGAAAATATTCAGCAGGGTACAGGTTGCCATGTCTGATTAAATGAATGTGACTTTTGAAACAAAGCATGATTTATTTTATTTTCCTATAGAGTTATCCTGCTTTTAAACATCACCAGGCTGCACAAAATATAAGCATGCAAACAGGTGATGACTGTTAGAACAAATATACTATGATCCTTAAAGTGTTACAATTAATGTTACAAAAATGTCCACTTACAAAATGATCAGTGAGGTTCCTCGCTTAAGGTGACTTGTTAGGTTTTTATCTAATTTACTGTCCTTGCCTTGGTTCATTTGTCCTTGCTTTGACTTTTTTTCTAATTTAATATTTTTTTGTGTCACTTCTGTTATGGAGTTAGAACTTTGAAAAATATTTTGAATAGCACACATTATAAACATCTTTTCTTCACCTAAAAGTTTTTTATTATGGTTTCCCATCCTTGTCTCTTTATCATGACACAGTAAAATGTCACATTATTTCAATGAATAGAGTTCTGCACAGAATAACCTAGTGATATCCTAATCCAGGCTGTCAGAATGTCGTTCTGCTCAGTCAGCAGTCAGGTCCAGATGCTTCACATACTGTAGTTCATTCCCTGATGAAGCTTCCTCTCAACATGATGCTGTCATCAGAATGTGATGTGTCATGTTGGGGTGCAGAAGATGGCAATGCTTGTGTAAGTAGGAAAGAAACAAGAGAGACAGAGAAGATTAAAAAAAAAGATAAAAAAACTGAAAACACTGGTGAGGTTCAGCAGCCAGATGTTCCCACTCAACCAGAACTGGACGGTGTTGTGTTGGGTTGCAGAAGATGCAGTGCTTTGCATGTAGACCAACAGGCACATCTCATACATGGTTTAAGATGAGTCTTCCTCAGCTAAGGCCACTTACCCATTAGGCAACAGTATATTGATGTACTGTACAGTACAGTGATACCTGCATCAGATACAGAACTGTACAACATTTTCAAAGTCAATATTGGCTTCATAGTGGCATCTGTAACCAGAATTCCTGCTTGCCTTTCATAATGTCTGGGTGGTATGATGTACATTTCATTTCTTAATGACTGACTTCACCATACTTCAGGGACATGTAAATTCCTCCTTTCAGTGCCTCTACCACTTCATCCCTAGCTTGTTTCAAATGCTTGGTATTCATGCTTGATTTATCATAGCACTAGGTTGTGTTTTGAAGTTCACTACCCAAGGGAACTTATTTGATGTATTGACTCTTACAAACGTTCAGTTTTATCGGTTTGGATATGATTGTAAAGATCTCAAATATGAAATATTTTAAAGTATCACGATTGCAGGCTCAGACATTCAGCCCCCTACAAGGTTTACATTTTTGTTTAATAATTTTTATGCACTGTAAAATCGACTGTACGCTCACTGCAAAACAGTTGGCTTAGAAACTGTCTTTGTAATCACCTGTAAAGCACCTTTCTTCATTTCCCCTGGAAAGCTCTTCAATAATTACAACAAAGAGCAACCTTTCTCCATAGGAGTTAGAAAATGGTATACAGTAGCTTAGCACCATTAAAGGCAGACAGTACGTGCGCAGGAGGGAATGTCTCTTAGCTTATTGTACATCCATACTCCTTGTTAATGTCTGCATTTGGAACCTTGATCTGGAGTAGCAAAAGCATGACTTTTCACAACTAATACAGTGTGAGCTACTTTGGGATTTCCATCATCAACAAACCTCTGTTAAAGCATCCTGCTTGGCTTCATAACCATTTCTTAAAGCCCTGGTCAGGTCAATCGTGCTGACCACCTTGCGGAAGAGAGGCTTTTCAGCGTCGGACTGATCACAATCGAGATGGGGATATGTGCATCTTCCACTGTTCGGTTGAAACAGAAGAAATTGTCTGGACTCTGAAGGTAAAAAAAAAATGTACTGGTTTCTAGACATTCTTCCCTACATGATTCGACAAAATTTAGAGCATGCGCAGAGCACAACAAGGACAGCCAAAGTTCTTCCTTTTTAAGGCCTTAGTGGAAGTCTGGTAAGTTTCCAGGATGGTAAGTTGTTGGCATTATCGTAGCCTGTTAGCCCATGACAGTTCCTCAGGTCAAAGAGACATGACAGACATGATGGTTTTTGCTATACATTCATCGATATAACCATGAAGCAGTAAGGATTTGTTGGCATAGCCCTGCTGGGCAATCTACAGTAGATTGTTTACATTAATGATATTGGGGCTAGAATCTACAACAATAGAGAAGTACTTCTGAATGGCATTTACAAGTTTTTTTTGGTATCCCTTGTAAATCACAGCCTATTAGTGCTTCCTCTGCCAGAGTTCCCATATTTAGTAAATCAAAAAGGACAGATTAATTCTAAGCTCCACAGAAAACAGTCTAATGCTGATTCAAGTACCAGAAAGTTGACATTGTGCGGTTCAGGTTTTTCCATTAACCGTGGACATGGTGCAGGTGAAAGGCATCTCTCTAATGCTTCTCTTTTACTCTTCATTTTTTTATAGTTTTACACTTCTATGGCTATTTTTACTCTTTTGGGAGCAATCCTATTTGTTTTGTGAACCGGAACCTTCTGCAAATACAGTATCATGCATGCTTCACCAGTAGAGAAGTCAACAGAAGTCTGTGTATTTGCATAGATTACAGCTTGATTCTAATGGCATGGACAATCAAAACAAAACATTTCAAGTTAAATATTTTATTAGAAAATTAAAAATGTCCACTTAGGACATGACTGACACAGCACTTCTCTAATGCTTCTCTTCTGCTCTCCTCATTTTTTCCATAGTTTTACAGTTCTCTGGCTAAATGTTTCAGTCCTAGGCACTTGCCCATGCCTAACATCTATTTTGAAAATACAATGTGCTTACTCTACCTTTTAAAGAAATATAAGCCCCTTTCTTTTTCATACCTTGATTTAGAGAAGTTTACTTTTAAAGAAATCTATAATGCATGTATCTAAAATTCATAATTAAATTAATAATAAGAGGTAAACTTAAAAGTAAATGAGTGAATGCTTGATATAGAGCTGTGCTCTGCAACCCTGCTTTTAAAATAATGTAAGGTGTTCTGGTATTTTTTCAAATCTAAATGACTTACTTGAACCTGTTATTTATTCTTATTTCTTGTTCTTGGAATTATTAGTTCAGATTTTAAAAAAAAGTTATATAGAAAAATGTTTGCTGATGTGTTTACCTTACTAATATTTTTATTTTTCTGTCCTTGAAACATGTCCCCAATTCAGATTTGGAGCAAATGTATATTTTTTACTTCATATGCTTTTATTTTTTAACAGTGGTTAACATTCAACTTCTATCTAAATCGATCTTACTTCTATTTTTTAAATGCTATCAAATGGTTCTTAGTGATTCTCAATTCTCTATCTGCAGTAGAAAAAAATCCAGTTTATTTACCTCCTCACTTCATGACAGTGACATTTAGAAGCATATAAGAAAAACAGTCAAGATCCAGTTTCACTCAAATTTTACATTTATTATACATTTTTAAAGTGATTTTCCAACAATAATGAATCAAATAGCGTTTTCACAAACTCTATAGCAATTAGTAGTACACCATTCTGATGCTGTTCACATAAGTGAAAAATGCCATTTCCATTCAATTAAAGAACAAAGATTACAGTAGAAGGACATTTATGTGCAGCAGATATTAATTGGGAACTCTGAGGATGACTGAAAGAAGTTACAAGTATTTCATTTTAAATTGCAAGGACTGCAGCCAATGTTAATTGCATACACTATATAAATGGCAATGAAATCTAAACAAAGATGTTGCATGAGCAAACTATTGAAAATGTTAGATTTAATAGATTTTGCACAGCAACTGACAAGGAATGCTCTCCAGGGCCATTTATATATATTCAATTATATTGCAGGCATTGCTACAGTTTTACAGTCTGTATTGTCATGGCCTCATTAGGCCAAGAATAGGAGTCAACAGCAAACTGGTCATAGTTGGTGCTGTACATGTGGGAACGCACAAAATCTTCCTTATTGCTTGGTTCTGGGTGAACACTAGCCAGATTGTTTTTGTAGGCATATTCTACAATCTGTTGATTAAAAAAAAAAAACATCCAATGTTAATTATGGTTAGAAAAGTAAATTCATACATGCACTTATAAATAACATTTATCATTAAAAAAAACTTTTCTGATATACTGTACAGCACAGTGATTGAATTAGTATGGTTCAGAGAGACTGAGTACCAAATTTACAATGTCATGATTGCTAGGAACAAGTTATTAATAAACCTTTCCTACAAAGCAGGCAAAAAAATAACTTTTCAAAAATAGACATACTGTAGGATCTCAAATACAGTACTTTATTTGAAATCACCCCACAAAATGTTATGCACAAAAAGGTCAGATGAATACCAAAAAAATGTCCAGATAACCAGTATATAGACCTAATGTAAGATGTACAGCATGCTACAATAAAGTGTGTGGACAGAAACTTGTTGAGCAATATATACATTTTAAAATTTTGCAGAGATCGTCATGTAAACACAAAACTAACATTTTATCAAGGATCATGATTAATCAGTGTAAAGTTTGAAAAAAATACCTTAATCACATGTAAGTCTTAAGTATTTTGAGAAACTACAAAACACAATGAAATCATCATAAGTAAAATACTATCATAGTCAGGTCACTTTAGTGACCAATCTGATTACCAATTTTATTTGACTGCACTTACAGTACATTTTCACCTATTTAGACTCCTGGGTAATTTACTGGAATCAAGTATCTTACTAAAGCAACAGCAGTGTCTTAACTGGATGTTGTAGCCAATCTTTGAGGGTTCTGGATGTCAAAACTAACAACTGCTCCAAACCAATATCCATATTCCTATTGACAGTTTTTAATGTTGATAATTAAATATAAACATTTAATTTATTTTAGAACAGAGGTTCTCAATTCTAGACTTCATGGGTTGCTGTATAGAAGGCTTTATAGTATAGTTCTTTTAAAATCTCTGCGTTCTTCAGGTAATTAGTGGCTCAGGTGAAAAGGTTGTTTCAGAGTAGGCATTTATGGGTTCTATCATTTTGCAAGATTCCACAACTAAGTTCCAGAGAGGTCTTGGACATCTGGAATTATGAACATTAGATTGTCACAGCAGTTGGTTTTATGTCATTTTAATGTCAATGAAACATCCATTTCTTGTCTGAGCATTTTCAGATAACTGGTAGTGTTTATTACCATCTTTGCCCTAGTACTGCACTTGAACACCGCAAGACAGGATCAGACAATCCATCTTCAGCACCTTCACAACAAGTTTTTATTGACAGATTCTATTGCAGCAAATGCCGTCATTTGGATTTGCAAGACACGGACTGACTGAACAGCCCAAAGACATCCGACAAAGATTTGTGATTCTGAAGGCCATACCAAATCCTTACTTGTCAACATTGAACTGGCCAGAAATAACCTTTCATACAGAAACGAGAAGTTATTTCCTCTGAAGAGAACTACTTTTTTCTGACCTTTCATGGACAGCTCCATATTGATTGATGCCAAAGAAAGAGTTACACAGAGTTGTTAACTGGCAAAGTGTGGTTGTGGGTTGTGGGGGGTGCAGCTAATGCTAAATTCCAGCCAGAACCCGTTGTCATACAGGATAGTTTCAGTGCACAGTGCCATTTGGATATCTATTGTGACCAGACCTCCTTCAACTGTGCAACCTGATGAACACAAACAGCAATGCTTGCCCCCACAAAGAAACTTTCCTTCATGAGCACAATGTTCAAGTGTTAGACTGGCTTTCATCAACTGATAAGGGGTGCATGTCTGACAGCAACATCTATCAGCCCCAGGTGGGTGTCAGGACTGTTGTAGGACTTTTGACATTGTTGAAACAAGCAATCTATTAATCCTTCATGAAGTCATACTGTATAATGTTGTCACTCATAAAATTGTGTTCTTATCTCAATGTATAGGTATATATTATTTGAAGTTTCAGAAGATTAAAAGCCATTTAATAAAATGTCAATGATTACCGTTACTGCCAGCTTGAAGGAAACATCCCTAATGTTGTTCAGGGGAGGATACAAGCGTCCTTCAGCCAAATCTTCATCCTTCACTAATGTGGCTATTGTCTTGTTCATGAAAAGAACAACAATAAAAAAAGTTCATTGAAAATAGAAAATTTTAAACTCCATGAAAACCTGCCCAATTTTCCTCAGCACCATGAGCTGCCAATTGTAATTTTAGCTGAAAACTGAAATACAGTTTGACATTTGTTGACAACTGAATACTAACAAATATTCAGGTTAGAAACTATAAAACACAGGCTTGTAGACTTTTCCCCCCTTTCTAAGCCTCAACTTTTGGCTAACGTCCAAAAGCTACACATTCAAGTGGAAGACCTGACTTCTGTGCATTGCTAATCACTGAGACTTTCCCTAATCCGTAGCTGTTCCTCACCCCTTGCCAAACATTCTGAATTCTGTTAATTTTTAAATGTTCACAGGTTTATATTTGAGAATTAAACAATCATATGAAACAAGTGAAAGCTTGCTAAACATCAACATTTATAATTGCTCTAAAGACAAGTAATTTCGGTAAGTATTATCTTTGTTATGAGTTTATTACGAGGTTGACCAAACTTTCTAGGCAACATATTTAACTCTGAATTATGTCTTCCATACACACTCTTGTTCTGATTAATAGTACAATAAAAGCTTTACTACACCAAATGGTTGTACAATTCAGCATATTCATCAAAAAGCCCATGCACCTTCAGCCTTTACAATCTGGTAAAATTTCTGGTTCTACTACTGTATGTCTATTGACATCTCACATTACCATCTTTCAATGTGCTCAGTTACTATGAATGTCTGCCACAGCGCAGACAGAGTGTATACATTTTTACCTAGTTTCATCTCATTGCTTGTTTGCATAATCTGGAATCATTTGTGACCTTTTAGTCACGACTATTGTGAAAAACAAATACTAGGAATTAAGGCATGTGAAGCTCTGTTATTTTTTGTAATACCCTTTGCTTGAATTAGTTTTTTTCTTACTATAGTACCAGAGCAGCACTGGGTTCAACTACTGGGTTGCTATCTGTGTGGAATATGTATGTTTTGCCTGTGTTCATGTGGGTTTTCTCCGAGTGCTCTGATTTCCTCCTACAGTCCAAAGACAGACTGGTAGGTTAATTTGTTTCTGGTAAAATTAGCCTTGGTGTGACCGTCACCCTGTGACGGACTGGTGTCCCATCCAGGATGTATCCTGTCTTGTGCCTGTTGCTTGCTGGGATAAGCTCTGGCTCCCCCAGAACTCTGAATTGGATAAAGTGGTTAGAAGATAGATGGACTTCAGTAATATACTGTACACTACTAAAATATTAGAGTATACTGTAATTCTGTATTGTAGTACCATGATAAAAAGTGTGTGGGTAATTTCTGGCAAACTATGACTGGATAAATCTTTCTTGACTAACCAGTATATTTGACTATTCAGGCAAATATACTTTTGTATATTCTTTGTGGATGGCAAATGGTAATTTTTGTTTTACCAATGGTAACACACAGATTCAAAGAATATACAGTAGTGTACTACAAAATTGTACAATGTTTTCTTTGAATATCTGTCAGTCTGTTGACTTTGTGTGACTTTCCAAAATTCTGTCACACACCAGATAAAATTCTAAAAGCACACTTATTTCCCCACGGCACACCAGTTGAGAGCTGTTGCCCTAGAAATTAAGATTTTGTAGTGAATTAAAAGGCATTACCTCAGCAGTTGTAAGAAAAATCTCATCAGTGACATGTCGGACTCCGCATGCAATAACACCAAGAGCAACTCCAGGGAAAACATAAGCATTATTCCCTTGGCCAGGGTGGAACCTTCGGCCATCAGGAAGTGTAACGGGATCAAAAGGACTGCCGCTGGCAAATATTCCTCGACCCTAAAGAATGATGTAAAACACAAGACAAATTACAAACATGGAAAACTATATTTTAATTATACAAACACAAACTATGAGAGAGGAGCTGTTCATCTGTGACCTTGAGACTAGACACTTTATTTTAGGGGTAATTATTATTATAATAATAAAACAATAATTGCTTACACTTACAGTATATAGCGCTTTTTATAAAGCGCTTTACAGATAATGGGGACTCCCCTCCAACACCACCAATGTGCAGCACCACCTGGATGATTCCCATTTCTTCTCCAAGCACTCGTCTTACCGGTTCATAAAACGTTTCCCAAAATACTCCCAGTACAATCTGATTTACCAAACAAATTCTGAGGCATAGAGGAGGTATTATAATGCCTTAAATATGTATAGTCACCTCTGGAATGGACTCGCTCATCTTAAAGGACACCAAAGAATGAATTCTGCAGTTTTCATGCAGCCAGTACATGTTCATAAAGAGAAAAGCAGTGGAAACATCTTTGATAAGATTTAAATCCCACTGGGCAAACATTGTACTGTACATGCTGAATAAGAACTTGAAGTCCGAATACACCAAGAATAAGCAAGAACGCAAAGAGACTGCAGAAAAGCATCTCAAATGATTTCACAAGGTTAGGCTAAAGGCAACTTCAGTAAGTGAATATTTCATTTGGGAGTTTACCAAGGAAGAAATGAATAAGTATCAAGCATTGGAAAGAAACCTATTAGCATACAAGAGAGTGATATTTATTGACTATAAGTACTTCAAATTTCAACTTGATGGTATAGTATTGTTTGCTTTTGGAACAAGAGATTATTCATTGGATATAAATCCTCCCATTGACAGGAATGTTGCTAGTGTAGTATCAATCCATATAAAGGGTGACAAAACAAATAAGCATGTGAATAAACAATACAACTGAGTCCTACTTCATATAAGACTAATTAAACACTAAGACCTATTGGATCACACAGTATGTGTAAATAAGATCCTAGGAAAAGGTCAGTATTAGGTAGAGTACTTTAAACAAGTACAGTAGCATCATTGATAGACGTATAGCCCATATGATACAACAATATTCGATTTTCAGAAGGGTTTTGATTTCACAAATTACAGGCAGTAGACTTACAGGGACATGTGTTTTTGGATTAGAAAACAACTTCTATATCAATAGTTACCTGTAACAATTCCATCTTTTCTTGTAAATGTACAAAGTAAATCAGATGCTATGTGCTCCTCATCCAAAGAAAATAATACTGTAAAATCACATATTGTATGTAATGTCTTTCCTTGAACTGAAAAGAAATTGTTTTACTCGTTATAACCAGTTTCTTAGGAATGTTGCAGAAATTTCTAAAATGTTGGATTTCAAATCTAAATGTGCTTATTAAATCCAAATGTGAAAGTGCATTTAAAAATGAGAACAAAGGGTGACGGGACTATAGAACGAGCTACACAGCCATGATGTTGAAACTGATTCCCTGGCTTCTTTCAAGAAGCGGCTGGATAAGATTCTTGAGCCAATTAACTACCAAGGGAACTAGATGGGACAGGTGGTGTGCTCTTTTTTAAAAGCTAGCCAAAGTATTCAGCCAGCAGCCACAACTCTACAACTCACAACTGGTAACCCACTGAAGGTCAGCAGGTGTGAACCTGGTCAGTACCTGGATGGGAGACCTCCTGGGAAAAACTAAGGTTGCTGCTGGAAGAGGTGTTAGTGGGCCAGCAGGGGGCACTCATCCTGCGGTCCAAGTGGGTCTTAATGCCCCAGTATAGTGATGGGGACACTATACTGTAAACAGGTGCCGTCCTTCGGATGAGACATAAAACCGAGGTCCTGACTCTCTGTGGTCATTAAAAATCCCAGGGCGCTTCTCGAAAAGAGTAGGGGTGTAAGCGCGGCGTCCTGGCCAAATTTCCCATTGGCCTTTAGCAATCATGGCCTCCTAATAATCTCCCTCTATAAATTGGTTTAATTACTCTGCTCTCCTCCCCACTGATAGCTGATGTGTGCTGATTGTCTGGTGCACTATGGCTGCTGTCGCATCATCCAGGTGGGGCTGCACATTGGTGGTGATGGACAGGGGTCCCCATTACCTGTAAAGCGCTTTGAGTGGAGTGTCCAGAAAAGCGCTATATAAGTGTAAGCAATTATATGATATACTGTCTTAGAAAAGCATAAACAGAAATATGTAACTCCATGGAGGTAACACCATTTTTTACCAAAATCTTTGTTTTGCTCCAGCTTTGTTTGTGTCAATTAATTGAATAACTGGTAGAGATTAACATGTCTTTCCATGGTGGTCTACAGAATAGTTACATACAAGGTGCACACATTCATGTGATGACTTTTCATGACAATTATGTAAGTGAGAGAGGGTGCTCTGAGTTGAGACCAAAATGTAATGACAGCAGACAATAGAATCTCTGTCACCAGCTGTTATAGATTTTAGTGACCAGTAAAATTCCTTTAAAAAGCATCCAATTGATGCAAAAGTATCACCTTCACTATTAAGATGATAAAGATTTGAATTTTTAGGATGTTGTTAGCTAAATTCAAGCATGTTCTATTGGTGGATGAAGTACAATACCTCTGTCAGACGATAACATTGCTCTGCAGTGCATTCTGCTTTGCTGGTTGGATTGCTTAGGGCAAAGATAACCGGATGCTCATTGAAAGATGCCATGTCTTTTATAATTTGCTCTGTAAAGGCCCCAGCTATTGCTGCAACACCTGAAAATGAATCAAACAGCACTCATAATTCCATTGAAAAGCTCTGATTGTGCCTGTAAACTGTAAATCAGAAAAGGTTAGTTAATAGTGTTACAGTATATTATTACTTTAAAAGAACTGGAATCACATTTCTTAGAAAAAGAGAGAAAAACAGAGCTAAATGATTTCCAGATAGACAATTTTAATAAGAAGTTTTTTTAAAAAGATTCAATTTAAGAACTGAATGCAATGGCCTTGATTATTCTACGCTACTGTTCTTGAGATCTAGAATTGCCTATTGGAATTTTTATTTTAAGCAAGCTGATCTTATTTTAATATCTCAGCAATGTCAGGATTAAAACTAACAGCAGCTTGGAACTCTGGAAATGCTAAAATACATTTTGGTTATACGGGATTCTGTTTTTATGCTTAGATTGAGTTATACTGTACGTGTCTATTTTGGTTTTGAAATTTCCACACTTTCTAAAACACTTTCTGAAACCCAAAATTCAAAATGTTAAGGAATTTCTCAAGTTAAATTTTGATTCCGGATGCATCCATTTGATTAAAGTACAGAATTAAGACCAGGTATTACAGTATACTTGGTTTCAGAATGTTGAGCATCTTATATTTTGTGTTCCACAAGTTCTGAATTACTTATTTGAACTTATTGTACTTATATAGGTTTTAGTTGTAATTTAAGAATACTTAATTTGCATGGTGCTGTCCCTTAACAACTGAAATTGCTAACGCAAGTAAATAAAAATCAACATGAAAAAAAGACTTAACAATTACCTATTATTGCAGTTGGCTTGATTTTCTGGATGATTTCCTCTAGGATCTTCATTTCAGGGTGTTCATGAGCAAATCTCAATTTTTCATGGGTCAGATTGGCTCTTCCCTTAGGACAAGAAAAAAACTAATTTTCATGTTGAACCTAAAGATACTCTTGACAAATTAAAAAATGTCAGCTAATGAAATAAGATACGTGTGCTGCATCATTCATTTTGCCAGTTCACATGAAACATTTTAATTTTATCTCCTGATTTGTTATCACACATTCTGCATGTGGAATGAAAGTTATATTTTCTACTGGAATTAAATTCATTATGAAGTCCCAACAGAGCATCACAGATGGGAATATTCCAACAGTTTTGTTCTGCATAGTACATATTTGATATGTAAATCTGTCTGCAAGCATAATAAGTACAGAAGCTTCAGATTTGTCTCCAGTAAAAATATTTCTCAACAAGAGTATGCACAGTAGATACTACCTACTCTATATATATGCTGTTGGGGGGGGGGGGGGCAGCATTTTTTCTAAAACCAGTGATTAATTCTTTCAAGAGATATTCTACAGAATGACTAATTCTACAAATGACATTATTCATGAATAAAAGCATTAGAAACATACTCCCACATGAGGCAGTAGGTGTTGATAGCTAATAAAATTCATTTGAAAATAAAATATTTTATTATAAGAGTTCATCTTTTATCAGCAACACAATAGCAAAACAACCAATATTATAATATAAGAATTGCCAAACTGCCCTTCAAATAAATCTGCTACACACACATGCTTGCTTGTGCAAGAGGCACAAGCGTCTGTGAATAGGAGATAATTGTTTAAAATATTTAACTGGCTGCTCTAAGTACGTCTGTCCTTAAACATTGGTGCTTGGGTGTTGTGAAAATTGTTTAGAGGATGTTTTTAGTAAATGAGGTTAAGCAGCAAAAGAGAAAGGCTGGCACCTCTATAAAAGGTATTTACATGGTTTAGCAATTGATTCATAGCCAAGTGACAGTTCTCAGGGATATCCCCTTATCAACTAAAATTCTCTGTATCAACAATCTGTAACTGAAAACCTCATATTGAAATGTGTTCTCTAGGTAACAATTTACTAGCCTTTGGATAGAAAAGCTACTACTGACCATTTTTGTGGATACCTATAAATCAGTGAAAGGAAGAAAGTCAAATTCTGACTTCAAAGTCTAAATCAGATAATTTTGAATCAATAATTCAAGGGTGGTAGCCAATAACATAGTATTGGCTTGGTCCATGGTCTTTAAATCATTAAATCTCAATATGTGAAAGTGTTCCAGTTTTATATGAAACTTGAGATGCTTCCATGAGTAGCTAAAACAGCAGCTGTGAAGAAGCTAGAGGATATAATTCCACACATTTTTGCCAGTAGTGGGCAACACTGACAAGGTTATTTTATAACAAGGTACGGTATATTTGTACCCTTAAGCATGCCCTTAAGCATGGTCGTATGTATTCCTTTCATTTCTGCTTTGTAAATGTTCCATGTTGGTAAACACATCTGCCAAGGATAACCTCATTATTGTACTGAAGTCATCAGGCATCATTATAAAACATTACTTAAAAATAGTTAAATTTAAAAGCAGTTTTTTTTTTCTATTAGGTAGAAAGCTTACAGTATGTGCAGCAGACTTGTAGTGTATCTACAGTATAATATTAATGTGCTGTATATTTGTAAACATTTGACATTCACTTTATAACTACTGGCACATATCATATGCATAAAGCCATACATGTGAGGAAATGACAAACATTCCCTAAATTCACATCAAAAGCTCAATTACTTCACTTATTAAATTATATCAATTCATAATGTGAGTAATGTGAGTGTTCTATTTTTGTTTCTCACAATCTGAGTGTTGTATTTTGTTTCTCCGTACAGAGGTGCAGTCTATGCAGTTATTAATCATTAATAGTCCATTAAAGTTTATTCTTTAGTTCCATTTAGAGACATTCTTGGTTGCCTACTCTGACTAAAGGAAATTACTGAATAACTGAGCTAAAGAAATAGTAATTAAATGTTCTTTACTGCTGATGATTACAACTTGGTTTATGGAGACATACTGCAGCACAGAAAATTATAGAGCTACACTAAAATAGGTAACTAATACTAATAGAATACTACTATTCTTCAGTCCCTCAGATCCCATTGTGTGGTAAATTAGGACTACAGTTTTGTAACAGAATTGTATTTGCTTCATTCATAAAGCCTGAGTCAGCATAAATTAGATAGTTTTAAACAATGGATCAGATATAAATAGAATTATACTGCAGCCCTGCTATTTCCTGGATTTAAAAAAGAAAACAAATGCTTTATATTGTGTAGTATAATAAATATCCCATGATTCAAGTGTCACTTGTGTTTCAAACTACAGTATATTGCTACTGCTACAGTTACTGAGATTTGCAAGTAGAAAATGCAAGTGAAAGTGAGCTCAAGCATAAAATGTAAAATGCATTCTAGTTTTATAAACCAGTTCTTTACAAAAACATGAGGATACTGCATAACCACAATTTAATGATCTCAAAAAGGGACAAGATTTTTTTCCAGTTTGATAATCTGTAACAGAAAACAAATGCACTGAATGTAAAAAGAATTCCATCACTCTTTTTATGATTTTTCAGAAAAACATTTTCAATATCTGAAATCTGTAGAAGATCAAACATGGAGAAAATCAAGAAGAACAGAAAGGACCAATATGCAATGCTTATCAAGAGAACTATGCCTTCATACCATCAGAATGTTAAAGGCTAAAATAAATCACATCAGGCAGACATGCCTGCAGTGGACCCTATGGTCTTCTTCAGTGATGAATTGAGGTTTTGTTTATGAATGCAGAGTGCATTCGTCCTAGCACCTCACCTGCTGCCATTACTGTAGGATCATGCTGACAGGACAACATTCCAATGGGACAACACTAGCTTTCATTTGTGAGATGAGAATGAGTTAGGTGTCCTTCTCGCCATACCTGAGCCTTGTTGAACATTTGTGGGATGAGATGGTATGATAGACTTCAGAGAGCAGTGGAAAGAAATGATGACCAGACTATGAGTAAGGAATAGGACAGAAATCGCTCAAAGCAGCATCTGCAATTAGGGGCAAAGCGCCTGTCACAGATGCACAACACAAAGACACACTGTATATTGCTTCCAGCTGTGGCCACTGTTAATCAAGCCTGTTGACAAATTCAATTCAAGTCTTATCCTCTGGGGGAAATCTGTTTTACAGCACAGTCCAATACAACAATATAACAAGCAAGACAAACATTACCAACAGAGAAGATGATACAGTAGTGCTACAGGAGATAGATGGATCTTTCATCCCTGCTGTAATATCTGTCTCAATGTATAACTATTATTTTAAAACCTGGGGGACACAGAGGTATCTCTTGGATGGGAGTAGGTATAAATACTGTTAAAGAAGGTTGGGGGAGTGTTGTCAATGACCAGTTCCTTTTTCAAAAACATTTAACTACAAAGAGAAGTCATCACACTAGTTGGAAACAATTTGAAATGGGCCCATGATGATTTTCTGGCTATTTAATAAGCTCACCAGGACCGTGTCCTAAGCAAACTTAATGGAATGTCTAATATGTCTATGCGAGTTTGATCTTAATCATCAATATACACAATGTACAGCGTAGGAGGGGATAGACAACCCTGTGGTGTTCCACTGGAAGTGTAGTTTTTCTCAATTTTTTGCACTGCCCTACTGAGCTGTGTGTCTGTCCCCCCAAGTTTGAGACTTAGTTACCCTGAGTTTTTAATTGGGGAAAATTAAATTGAAGCTTTTGCTAGGAATTATGGATTCTACACAGAAATAAATGTCATATGATACTACGTCAGCAAGTTTGTGAATATCCTTTAATCCTTTAAACACATTCCATGGTGTGTAGTAAAAAAAAACCCTGCAGCTATTTAGTACTTTTTGTCCCACATTTTTACTGTAATTCTCTCTGGTTGGTTTCTCTTGGATAGTGCCTGATTGGCCTGCGGAGTAGTGTGTTGTAATCAGAGTTGCCCAGCGTAGGTTTTGCGAGGGATGAATAGGCATTTGGAATTGTTCTGCAGTAACGCTCAAATTCTGTTCAACCACATGTGGCAGGTCACAATGATAAAATGTGCAAAGTTTATTTTAAATGTGCAACTGTTAATTTTAGAAAATTAATTTAGGAGTATCTGGGGACACGGCATGCAGTTTCTAAATAACATCAAAAACATTTTTAGATGCCTTTTCCACATTTGCTTCAGGGTGGATATGAACAACTGTCACAAAACACGGAAACTCTCGTGAGAGATACAAGAGATGTGTGTAGCAGTTCAATACCAGGCGCACGCACATACTCTCTCACGGATGGTAATATTTTGACATCAGTGGTAATCAAATAGACCCCTCCACCATGATGTTTACAATATCTGCGCTTAGTCTCTCTCCAGTCAGGGTAGAGAAAACCTCTCAGGCTTAACACGGTTGTCTTTTACAGTGTAGTCTAGCCACATCTCCAGAAAAGGAAGTGCACAGGCAGTTTGTACCCAATTGAATATGGACAGAATCCTAGTGGGCAAGGAGGTATATACACTCTCTACTGAAATTTCGGTCTCATCCCAACCCCCCTTCCATGTAAATGCTAACATTTTGTTTTGGAATTAAAATCCATACTCTGTGTAGAACAAAGAACAAATTCAAAGAACTATATTTTAAACCAGTGTTGCCAACATCCAGCTCATTCCAGCCATTAACAGGTAGCCCACAGAAAACAGCAAGAACCTCGACAAGCTTCATCATGTCGTCACCAATCATCCTGTATTAATACAGGCATTAAATGTTTTTAAAAACATTCATGAACAAGTAAGACAACAAGGGTGGACAAAAGACATACTGCTGGGCACTACAGAGCAGTGCACTTGATCATCATAATGAAATAACTATATATCACTGAATGGACATGCTGTTTAAGTGTTTAATGCACCTGCTTTAAACAAAAGTTTAAATTTCTTGGTAACTTTGTGAATTTGTTGCACTTAAGTGATACATTTTCACTGATGTCCAGTAAATTTGAGCAACCTGTTGAAATTTACCAATGTATATCATCCTACTAGTGAGAGTAAATGTATACTGTATATTTATAATGGATGATAACATTACTTTACCTTGACAATAAGGCCTTTAGAGTCAACCATCCAAATCTTGTTAAGGCACTCTTCTTTAGGAATTCCTTCCTTTTGCATTGCCATTACGATCAGATCTGCAATCCCCATTGCTGCCTGAATACAAGAGAACATGTCGATACAAGAAAACACTGGTCAATTAAATGAAAACCACAGCTCAAGAATTATGTACCCTTACGCATAGTTTTCCCAGTTCTAGTGGTGAAATGTTTGTTTTACAATCAGAACTGGAAATAAAAAAAGGTTACATTCAAGAATGGAGTGATTGGAGCGACAATATCAAGAAAGTTATATTTTATAGCAGTGGTTTTGTTTTTATAAGGAAAGTCTAATGACACTATTAAGATGTTGAGTGAAAACTGATTGAGCTCATTGTTTTGTGCTATTTCTGCTGTAATTATGTGCAATCATTCTGCTATAGAACTGAACAAAATTTTAAGGGTTTCCACATAAAACATAAGCGTTTCACATTGCTTTCCTATGAATAAGGATAATTACCTCACCAGCTCCTTGGAATAATATCTTTTGATCAGACAGCTTGCTCCCTGTGACTCGCAGTGAGGCCAGGAGACCTGCTACTGCCACTGCAGCAGTCCCTACAAGACAAAAATGGACACACTTCCTTTTACATTTCACAATTAGACTGAAGTGTATTTTTACAAATCTGTCTGTGATCGTTCTTAAATCTATATACAGTTCATCCAGTTATTGTGAACATTTGGTTAGAATAATCAAGCATCAAATCTGGTTCAAATTACCCTTTTCAAAATTACTGTGCTACCGTAATTAGGAACCATTTTCTTTGCAAGTTGTTTTAAGAGTCATCATGGCTGGTATAAGACTTGCATTACTAATTTGGTCATATTTATCCCCCCCAAACAAACATTCACAGTATGTTCCTTCAGCTTTGAATAGGCAGTTGTCTTCCTATTGGAGAAACTGACCTTTCTTTTGTTTCTAAAATGAACAATGCTCAGGCAATATTATGGTTTAGATTCTATCCATCATAGTACGGCAAAATGACCCTTTCTTTTCTACAGAAGCACCAGAAAATTAGCAGACTATCTGTAATAATGGAATTTCTCATTTCAATTGAAATGTGAATAAGAGACTTGAAAATTGAGTTTATGTAGCATGTCTTCATATTAATTTATACTACTTGTTAATGATGGAAACTCAGTGAAGCTCATTGTTCAGGGTTAGAGTTCAGGGAGTTTTATTGATGGTGATTGTAAAAAGAAGTGGGGCCATTCAATTATTAATTTATTTCAATACCATGGCATATCTTTTCAGTTTTGTTTTCTAGTGAATTGCTTCTCAGCAGTGAAATATTTTTTTAGTACTCAGTTTTATGGCAAAACCAAAAGGGGATCTTCACAACTGTATGTGGGAACATTAAGTGAGTAGTAGCTCAGGGGAAAAATAACCGATTCAACCCATGCAGACAAAGCTGCATCCACATTAGGACGCTCAGTAATCTTCAAAGCTAAGAATTTGAGAACATCCCCAATTTTGAAATAGTGGAAGAGTGAAATTTGTAAGAAAAATATACTGTACCTATGCCATAAAAACAAATTAAAGACTGAACATTTGAACATTTAGGATGAACATTAGTCTTTCAATAACATTAAATGAAAGCATGAATCTGAATGAGAAACAATCCTCCTTCCATAAACCATCAGATATTGGACAGGTACAGCGCCCCAAAGGATGTGTTCAAATTGAGTTATAAAGGATGTACTATAAAGAAGGACAACTGCAAAAACATTGAGTAGGATATATCAGCCAGTACTTTACTTCTGTAAGCAGAGGACCTATATGAGAACATTTCAATGTTTAAGGTTACAACCTCTAGCTCTCCATAGTTACTACTGTGAATTTAAATACATACTGTAGAGTGCTGCAGATCCATCATCTGCTTTGTCACGAGCTCACTGCAGTACAAAAATGTAGTTGTAATGTTGAGTATTAATATAAATATGAATGACATTGTGTGAATATGATCAAACACTGAGGTGCATAGCATGAAATGATTTCTGCATGCAAAGGTAAAATATTGCCTGAAACGCAGTGAACTCAAGATGTACAGACCCCATGTCACAATGATTCATTGTGCGTTCATACTGTATACCTCTTTGCACAAGAATGAAATTGGACTTGTTTGTTTCGGTCATTAAAAACAAACTCAATATTTCACTGGGAAACAGTACCCTAAATGCATTTTATGGTGTGCAAAGTTAGGTCTTTAAGCAAAATCAGACATTTGATGGAATAGAAATGTTCCTTCCTAGATGGTATTTTTTCATTGACGTCATGAAGGCTTGGCTTTGGCTTGGATTTTTATGAACACAGCTGAAAGCTTTTCAGCATTTGCCATCCATTCTGGTGAAACCAAACTGCATTACCAATAATGTGAGTTTATAAACCATTTATGAAGTACTTGACTTAAAAATACCAAACTCTGAAAATGTGAGAACACAGATTTTGTGCAAAATGTAATGTGTAGTAGTTTGGATATGTATCTATTTTCTTGCAAACAATAAGCATGCAATGAACTCGGTACAATACCTTGTATGTCATCATTAAAGGTGCAGTATTCGTTACGGTACTTGTTGAGGAGGCGGAAGGCATTGGTATTGGCGAAGTCTTCAAACTGAATGAGACAGCTCAGTCCATACCTACAGAAAATGCAACCAGCTCATGGTTAAATCATTACTAGTCCAGCCACACATGGTTTAAGTCACTGATGGCATAAAAAGAGGAATTTAAATTTCAGATACAATAAAAACTCAGAATGCAGAATTACATGTCTGAAGATCTCCAATTCCCTGTGCATGGTTTTCTAATTAACTGTATGAATAAGCTCCCTTTTCTGTAGTATTATTGTACATCAATTGTAAAATGTTACATTCCAGTGCTGATTAGAGCCTTTTGTGTGGTATGTTTAGCAAAGGTAATGAATTGGAAGACCAACAGTAAAGTTATTGGTGAGTTTTAAAGCATTTACATAGTATCTTTCAGGAGGATAGCCACTTATTACTTTGTCAAAGAGTAACAAAACAAAATTACCACTAATTTTTTTTGAAGTGGAAGTGCAAGTCTGATTTCTTTTATTGGATGCATCAGAAAAATATCCTTTCTGGTAAATCATTGGTTTAGTGTCTGAATTTTAATTAAGCACACAGTCAATAACTGTATTCCTTTAAAGAAAGGAACCATTCTGAAATTTAGTCAGTTTTTCTCTCTCTAGCATTATTCTTCAGTTGTCAGTCTTGTTTTGTCCAATTTTTTTTTTAATTTCACTTACACTGGAGAAAATGAATGCAATTTAAATAAATAGTGTTGTAATCTTCTAATCCAGTGTGAATAATATAACCCTTGTGTTTTCTGGGCTGAGCAAAAGGCTATCATTATTTATGACAAATAGGACTTTACTCTATGCAATGCTACTAAAATTACAATATGACATTTACCTACTCTAACTGGAGCTGCCAATCTGTTTAAAGAGTTGGATTACCAGCAACAACTCCCTCACCCATTTCAATAGACAGGTATTCTCTTCTGACATCCCCCGCCATCAGAGCCATTCCTAACTGATGTCGAGTTAGTATGGAATCAAGAATATTAGTGATGTCACTGCAATTCTGTAGATGCTAAGCAATTTACAGGAGTCCCTGTTGTACTAAAAGAGCCTGCATGACTTAATCCAGTCCTGACTGGACACTATTCAGGCATTTGTGCACAAATGCTTTAGAATTGCAGTCTCAGTCAGGATGTCATATAACCCAGGCTAAAACTACTGAACTAGCACATCTACACCCGATCTATTGATACCCTTTACTGTAGGCATCAGGGAACAGACATTATTATAGAGTCGAAATTTAAAACCTTATTAAATATAAAACAGACCATCAAGGGATTTGAGGGATTTTGGGTTTTGTATCCCAATTATGAAGTCCAAGAAATACTTTCAAGAATAGAAACATAAGTTTAATTCATTTTACTTACTGTGACCATATGCTGCTGTAATAGCATTGCTTAAACAACAAACAGTTTATTTCATCATGGTTTAATATTCATGGTAGGTATCAAGTCTTCTCCTTCCAAAGGAAAGCAAATATACCAAATAACATTCTAAGAAAGTCCATTCCAGTCCTATTAGCATCCTTTGTCCAACAGATACCAAACATTGCAATGTGTCATCAAAATACCTGGAACTACAGTACCTGCTGGTTTTAATAAAATTCTCCTTTTATGAAGTTAAACTGTTAGTACAGTAACTGAGGTAATACTTAATTCTGTTTATTGTACAGAATTTTGCCTTTTTTGTCCTTCGCTTCATATTGGTACAGTACATCAAAGGTGGTAGTTGTTTCATCTTAACCAATTAGTAAACAATTACTTAATGACCCTATTATACATACCGTACATGCGAGTGGGTTTGGAACAAAGCATAAGCTCCATAACTGGAGCACTTAGGAATTTTTAATAACATTTTTTAAAGTGTCATTTCTTCATTTTGGCCAACAGATATCCCACAACACTGATGTTCAGCACCCCAGTTTTGTGTAATTGCTCTTAATGTAATGGACTTTGAGAAACACATTTGATCTACTGTACGTTGAACATTTCCATAGATTAGGAAATGTTCAGGCTCTCTCCCTATGTGTGTCTCATGGAGAGCAAGCTAGGGTATATTAAAAGATAATTCATAATGCAAGAAATTGTAAAGGGTTAATAAAGTGATATGTTATTAACAAGATTCCCATGCTTGAGTACCAGTATTTGTGAACTCCTTTCAACCCCTTCATTTAAAATAAAGTGTTGTTTGAAGTGTCTGAAAAACATGCTACTTATTTGTGTAAGATAATGGATATTGTGGTTTAAGACTAGAACAGACAACTTTAGATTTAAGTACTGTCCACACACCACATTTCAATAAAAGGAACGGTGCCCTTATCACCATTATGTTTAGCAGGTTTTTAGTTTAAGAGGCACTCGGTTGGTAAACTGCACTCTTAAAAGTGAAAAATGCAATCCTTTATTAGATAAGGTAGTGTTTGAATTAGGGAGAACTGGGATGGGCTGGATCTAGACTACAGTTCACTTAATTTCCTCCTGCAGAGGGTGCTAGCACTCTATAACTGTCTCAAGGCAGTAACTTGCACTACAGATATAAACTTTATATTGCCCGATAAAGTAGGAAACCATTACCACATGGATAAAATAACCAGCCATGGGTAGACCAATAATGACTTTTTACCTGTATTAGGCACATAAATACTTTGGATTATATTCATAACAAGCAAATATTTAGAGTGCTTTTCAAAAGGTTGGAATTCTGCAAAACAGCACAATGTATTTGATGTGCATGAAACTCGGGTTGATATGTCTTGCACACTTTCTCTAGCTTTACACTTTTCTAGTAAAAGACTGCTGCATTGACATACTGTACTGAACATATAGTAGACATCTCTTTACATACAGTTGGCACCCATATGTATTCAATAAGAGGATACCAGCTAAATTAAAAGGTGGCTTTAGCAAAGCAGTGAAAATCACAAAACGCCAAAAGATGTTCAAAGTAAGTTGCACTATTTAAAATCTGGTAAAGATTTCAAATGATTTCTGCATATAGGACTCATCCAGTACATTCAGAGTAAATGGCTTGAGCTTGTAAATTACTTAGTTAATGCAAAACAAAATCTTTTGCATTGAGGTCTAGATATTGTAATCATTTAATAGAGAGCATTAATATTATGCTCTCAACTACATGAAAGTATGACAAGTCATTCTACTCTGCTGGAAAGTACATTTGTGACTGGGCTTGAGCTTCTTAGCAGAGAAAATCAAGTTTTAGGATAGAATTTCCTGGATTACTTTGGAATCCATCTGCCCAATGTTAACAGTACCAGTACACCAGATGCAAATCAAGCCATTAAACAGTAAATCTACTACTATTCTTGACAGATGGGATGGTAATCTCATTCAAAATTCGCTTTACCTTTATGTCCTAATTATATTCCTGTTGAGTCAATCCATTTTTGTGTTCCAACCAACCACTTAATTTGGTACCAAATGACTTTCAAGTCAATTGGTTGCCCATGGACAAGTTAATAGTTTTCTTGTTACACTGTCATGGAACTCTGCCATTGATCTGAGATTAATGAGGTCATCTGAACCACCAGTGCCAACAGAACTGTTGCTTGATGTTGAGATATTGATGTTTATAATGTAAGTGAGTGCATGATACTGCAGAAAAGGACACATACAGTAGGGTAGTATCTGCAATTTGGTGCATTTCTGAAGGTGTATAGGATCCATTATATTGCTATTAGCCTGTAACTTTCATAATTCACCCATTGTAGATCAGTGCTCTTAGGGCCTAATGTTCATCAGCAAAATGAATTTACTGTACAGTACGTCTTTTCAATAAAATGTCAGTGCGCTTGTTATATTGATTATCATTTTCCTGATAACTGTGGGTTTACTGCAGTTATAAGTGCTCAGTTTATGCAACAAGCCCTGAAAGCTTACTTGCATTTTTGTTCTTGCTAAAATTAAATTTGAGTTATGCGGTCTCAAGGTTGTTTCTCCACGTCTGTCTCATCTAAAAGATTTTAAAATAATGGGTGGATGTACGGGGTGGCATGATGGCACAGTGGTTAGCATTACAGCCTTGCAGCACTGAGGTTTGATTCCAGACCTGGGTTGCTGTCTGTGTGGAGTTTGTATGTTCTCCCCATGTTCGTGCAGGTTTCCTCCAGGTGCTCCAGTTTCCTTTCACATTCGAAAGACATGTTGGTACAGTAGGTTAGGAAAATTTGCCCTAGGTGTGAGTGTGTGCAAATTTGTCTGTCTGCCCTGCAAAGGACAGGCGTCCTGTCCAGACTGTACCTGCCTTGTGCCCGTTTGTTGCCAAGATAGGCTTATGCTCCTCCACAATCCTGAATTGAAAAAAAGCAGCTTGAAAACTGCTATGTACAGTATATAGAATATGGGATGTCCTTTAACACAAATCTTAAGATGGAGTTTTTTTCCCCTCCATTTGTAATGATTGGGTCCTTTTTATCCTGTGGAACTGATTAAATGGACAAAATGAAACCAGCAACACCAGGAGAGTCAATACGCAACAGTAGTGTTCGGCTCACTAAAAGTGTTATTTGGCCTAATGTATTCTTGACAAGAGCCATTGTCTTCAAAGTGTTCTCAGTTTGGCTGTTTTCCAAAAATAAGTTGATTATAATCAGAGGTTTAATAGGTCTAGTTGCATTAATTGTGGCATCAGAAACATTTGTTGAATACTTCTGCTGCAATTAAAGATAAATCTTTTTTTTCCCCAAAAACAGATGGTGCGGCTTGCAATTTGAATGAAAGCAAAACGCCAGCATCAATAGAGCAATTAGACATTCATTCCATGCTGAAAAGTAGAAAAAACCATTGCCTTTTTACTTTTCAGCGTGGAAATAAACAGTAATTGTTTCCTTGTGGATTTCATGCTGATGCAGCTAACCAAATTCAAAATTGTTTTCCATTGAAAAAGTCTTCTAGGAATTTTGTAGTTTCTTATTATAATCTAAAAAGACCATCTCATGATTTTATACCAAAATAAAAATCTGAAGAAATTAGTCCCTTTAACTACATAGCATCAAGGCACATTATTCCACTAAGAGTCAAG